GAGGAGGACCCTCGTGCTGGCGTTTCGGAGGAGGACCTTCGTGCTGGTGTTTTGGAGGAGGGCCTTCATGCTGGCGTTTCGGGGGAGGAACCTCATGCAGGTGTTTTGGCGGAGGACCGTCCCGCTGGTGTTTTGGAGGAGGAAGCGATAGAGGCTCGGGGGGAGGTAGCTCCTCCGTTGGCTGACCCATCACCTGACGAAGTGGCAGAGTTGGCACGACCTCATCACCTCCAGAATGTCACCGTGCTTGAGGTCATTGAAGCTCGCAGCGTTGACTGCATCCTTGATGGACTTTCTCGTGCGCACGCAAAGTTTCGCTGCATGGGCATAAATGTGATGCGCATGCATAGTGACAGGGAGAAGAGCTTTCTCTCTACCAGGGTGGCACGGTGGTGTGGTCATCGATCAATCCATCACACCTTTACTGAGGGCGACGATCCCCAGGCCAACGGCCGTGCAGAGAGTGAGATTCAACAAGTCAAGCGTCGCATGAGGCTTTTGATGCACCAAGCTCAGCTGGAGTCTTCTCTATGGCCCGGTGCCCTCCGACATGCCTCGGAGGAGAGACTTCGCAACCAGCTTCGTCGCTTGGGCATTCCCACGAAACCAATGCTTCGTTTTGGGAGCATGGTCACTGTGCGCAGTAAGCGCTGGCATAAAGCTGGTCAATTGGTGCGGCCTTTCGTTTCTATGCAGTTGATGGGCCCTAGCCCCATGATGTCCTCAGGATGGGTTGTTCGTCACGGTGATCGGGTGCAGCATGTTCGCACCGCTGTTGAACCTTCGCCTGAGGCTGATATTGCTGCTCAAGAACTTCATGCCATCGACCAAGGACATGTCCGTCGTCGCTTGGTTGGCAAACAGGGCATTGACCCACACCCCTTGGAGGATGTGATTCCTTCACTCTACGAGGCTGCTCAGGTTCCGGGGGAGCTCAGACCAGCTCTCGCTTCGCTGACTCACCTTCGAGCTGGGGGGGAGTCGCTCGCAGACTTTTGCTTGATTCCGGATGATTTGTCGCTGGGAGATCAAGACCAAGCAGTTGCCTTTGCGGTGCCTCAGCTGGAAGCAGGTGAGGACTCTGAGGGTGATGGTGAGCCTTTTTCTTGGTCGAGTGCACTCCAATGTCATGAAGAGGAAATTCAACAGCACTGGACACTGAAGCAGATGTGGCTGGAAAAGCTGAACGAAGTTCCGGTGGGGCATCATTGGGGTGGTGAACATGGACGTTGGATGGAGCATGTGGAAAATCAGTTGAGGCTGCAAGAAGAGTGTTTGACTCAGCAGCATGAGGTGATTGAGCGCTGGAGGTTGGCTTCAATGAAATGGCGACGACGGAGCCTGCAGAGGAGAGTCCGCCATCAAGTACTGAGAAACCAACCACCGTGCTTCAGACATATACGGTGTCATTGGCTCAGGTGCGGAAGGAGCTGCACAAGTGGGTTGAGCCTTTCAAAGATGAATATCAGTCGCTCACTAGCAATACAGGTGCGATCAATCCCACTACAGAAGATGCTCTCAAGGATGATCCTAGATATCCTCTTCGGGAAGAAGCGCCTGCCATGCTTGTGCCGACAGTGAAGAGTCCCCACGGCCGTCACCGCGCTCGAGTGGTGATTTGCGGAAATCACTTGTTCCGCCCAGATGGTGACAAGGCTGTCGATCCCCTGACGGCTCAACAGTCCAACGCTCCATTCTCTTTGTATGCAGGTGGAGCAGACGGGACAGCGCTGCGAACATTGTTGCGCAAAAGCGCCTTGGAATCCTGGTCAGTGGCAAGCCTGGACGTCAAGACTGCTTTCCTTCTAGCCCCTCGCAGGGACAGTCAACAGAGACTTTTGCTCACTCGTCCTCCGAAGGTGTTCATCGAAGCAAAGGTCTGCAAGCCCAACGAAATCTGGGAGGTCAAAAACTCCCTGTACGGTCTTCAGGAGGCCCCATTGAACTGGTCGATCTTTAGAGACGAGGAAATGTCAAAATTTCGCTGGTCATGTCAGGGCGCCGACTGGAGGCTGATGCGAACGACAGAACCAAATCTGTGGAAGGTTGTTTTGGACCGCCCTGAGCAGGCGAATCGAGAAGACAAGGCATATGCATATGTTGCTGTGTACGTCGATGACATCCTGGTCACGGGGGAGCATGCCATTGCTGAATCTGTGATTCAACGGTTCCAGCAGCAGTGGACGTGTTCGACTCCCGAGTGGTTGACGGAGGAAGAGTCTGCATCCTTGCGTTTTTGTGGCTTTGAGCTTTCTCGTCAAGGACCTGATCTTCTTCTTCATCAGCAGTCCTACTTGGGCGACTTGTTGGCTCGATACTCTGATGTGAAGCCAGCGAACTGCCCTTTGCCAGGTGTTTTGGACGACTCCGAAGAGTCCAACATTGAAATCAGTGCAGTTCGTAGAGCTCAAACTGTAGTTGGAGAACTGCTCTGGTTAGCAGTTCGAACGAGATTGGACATCTCGTACGCAGTTGCTTGGCTTGGTCGCCATGTGGCAAGGTGCCCAAATAGAGTGATGCATTATGGTCGGCAGGTCCTGGGTTTTCTCTCGTCAACGCAGAGGTTGGGCTTGCTTTATACCAGTCGTGCTTCGTTAGAGAGTGGTTCGACTTTGGAGCATGTTCATGGCATCAACGTTTTTTCGGACGCTTCGTTTGGACCCCCTGGATCTCGAGGCCACCAAGGTTTGGTTGCAATGTACGCTGGTTGTCCGGTTCAGTGGGAGAGCAAGCAACAAGCATTTGGCACCCTTTCAAGTTCAGAATCCGAGTTGCTAGCATACACTGATGCTTTGACCATGGGAGAGTCTTGTGCAGCAGTAGCTGGTATCCTTGAGAATGGAGACATGGACAGCGTGGGTGGCTGCACACTTCATGGTGATTCGCAGTCAGGTCTTCGTTTGCTGCATGCTCCTGACGGAGCTTGGCGAACTCGCCACTTGAGGCTTAGAAGTTTCGTCTTGAGGGAGCGCATCAGAACTGGCTGTTGGCGAACCAACCATATTCCTGGAGCTCAACTAGCAGTTGATTTGCTCACCAAGCCCATTGCTAGTGCGACTGCATGGGACCGGTTTCGAGCTTTTGCAGGACTCAGGATGCGCAGCGAGAAGCGTGATGAGGGCGTAGACCACCGGTCCAAAGTGGCCAAGCTCGCAGCAATTGTAGCTAGCTTAGCTGGCCTGGCGGCCTGGACTCCTGTCGGAGACACGGTTCAATTCGCTCGAAGCTTAGGCATCGCGGCGCTTAGTGCAGGAGTAGCCTGGGTAGCTAGGAGCTGTTGTGATGATCTCAAAAGAAAAACCAATGGGCAGAAGCGTGTGTCAGAGACCTGTAAGACACACCAAGAACACAAAAGAAAGAAGAATCAAGATGGAGTGAGGGAAAATGAACCCACTCTCAATTCCACCCATGACCTTAGCCCCACGGGCTCCCCGGTAGCCGGCGCGAGGGTTCAATGCGATGGCGGCTTTCGCATGGCGGCATTGAGGATGTCTTCGGCGAGCGGCGGCGCTGGAGCTGGTGATGCTCCGTGGTGCGACTTCGGTGAAGGACCTTGGATGAGCCTTCGCTTTCGTGAGTGGCCCAGAGGAAAAGACAAATGGGAAGATCTAGGCAGTGGCTGGTGGGTTCGAACTTTGAGTGCTCCCAGAGTCAATACCTACCACCCAGTACACCGCAGCACGCCGTTCAATGTGATGGACCTTCTTCCCGAGAGGCATACGCTTTGGTGGCCGTCTGATGGCGCTCCACGCATGCTTCATGACGAATGGAGTACAGGCCAGAGATCGGTGATGGTCCCAACAGGCCAATGGAGAGGATATGCCTTTTTTCGCATGCGGCCGACGGGAACAGACACCCCTGCTGGACCAGCTGCTGTAGAGAGCTCAAGTGTGCCTCGGCTCGATGAGGGGCGGGGAGAGTTTTTTGCTTTGGCCGATCATGCTGGATATCAACGCCGACTTCAAGGTGCTCGTGCTCGGGGGGAGGCCGCGTTGGCCGGTGGGGTGCTGACTAGCGCTTTTGTGGATCCTTCTCTTAATCGAGTTCGGGAACCTAGTGAGGCAGGTGAGAAGCGGTTGAATTTAGATGTTCGGAACGAAGAAGATTCCGATGGCAGTTTTTCCAAGGTTGAAACTCCATAGCACTGCGCGCTGCAGTGGGGGGAGTGTGATGTGTGAATGAAAGACTGACTAGCAAAGCAGTCTAGCAAGGCCACCGAGCTTTGCTTTCGCTTTCAGATTCTCTGAATATGCTGGAATGCCTTTAGGGCATCGTTGGGCAACGCCCGTTTGTGTACTCTCAGATTCTCTGAATATGCTTGAATGCCTTTAGGGCATCGTTGGGCAACGCCCGTTTGTGTACACGCCCACGACTTTGGGCTTCGTCTTTGGCTCAAGAAATGACCGCTTCATGCACCTGTGTCGCACTTAGCACAATTCAATATCCACAAACACCTGGCTGGTGAAGGACATTGGCCAGAGCATCTCGCGGTCCAACGAATAGCATCTTGAAGAGCACCACGAGTGAGCGCCACTGCCCTTCTCTTCCCCATCCAGGTCCGTCCCCGCCGTCGCCGTCGCCGACCGGGTCGCCTTGAGGGGTGAGTGTCCAAAGACCTGGAGCTTCCACCTCCTCAGAGACCGCAAAGAGAAGCGAGCAGCTTCCCGAGGTGACCAAAATGGGTCAAAAGGGTAGGAGATGCTTGTTCAACCCCAACTTTTGGGAGGACCCTTTTGACATTGAGTTGGAAGGAACAAATGGCGTACGGCGCCAAAACTGCGTGGGAGTGTGATGGTCAGATGGGCTCACAAGCTCAACCGAGTCAAGTTGAGCCCTTCATACCTACCTGCTGGTTGCACCTTTGCCAATTATATACATGGAGCTCCATGTCGCTGCTGAGCATTGGTCGTGCAAACTTGCTCAACAAAAATTGTAATATATATGCCCCAAATCCATCTCCACAAGTTTCCTCCACGTGCATGTCCGACTGCTTCGCACCGCTTCACACCGCTCCTCCATCTCACAGGGTGCCAGGTTGATAGAGCTTCCCACGCCCTGGCAGACCGCTCCGCGAAAGAACGGAGAGCCCGGCGCGAGGCTTTTTGGAACCGGGGGTCAAAAGGCTTCCATTCATTGGCACTTCAGCAGCTCCACCAATCAGAGATCTACATAATTTGTTTGTTTTCACTATTTATCCAAAGTAAACAGCACCCAGCCCAATTGTCGCAAGCGCCTCGCCAGGGGTACCATCCACGTTGACCTGTGCGATGGGCAGGTCACCAGGATTTGCCAGGAGTTTTCCTGGAGGCTCTGGAAATTCCAAACGGCAATATGGCGGAACAGACTTGCCCAGGGGGCTGGAAGACCTTCTGATTCATGAAACAATGCCCGCAGGTATGCCCGCCATCTGGAGGCATACCTGGGCTGAAAGGTGCTGGAGAAGGAACATCTTGATGGGAATGAATCACGGCCTGCATCCAAACCCACATTTTAAAAAAGAAACACACACAATCATAGAATGACATAGAACAACTCACCACACGCAAAAACGAAGCTGAGGCCCCCCACACACATGCGAGTCTTCCGATGCTGAAGGAAACCCGATGGAAGTAAGCTCCACTGTTGCTCCTGCCGACGCTGCAGTCGCCCACACGCTGCAAGCAACCTGCCCCTTCTATCCCCCCCGGGCATCGAGACATCGCTCGCAGGTTTTCTCGCCTGGTTCGTCTCGTTGCAGCGGGCGATGACCAAACCCAAGCTACCTGTCCTGGGCGGAGAGAAGATGCAAGGGAGTTCTGTGAAGCAAAAAACTCGTGAAAACTAGTTCTTAATCCAAGTGTCCTCCTTAAACTTGCCTCTTATGCTCGTAGGAGTTGGCTGTGAGTGATAGTTTTAAGCCATGGTTTGCTGCCTCTCTCTCCTTCTCTCTTCCGGCGGTGGGCATTGGGATAAGGAAAGCGAACAACATGGACACATGCATCAAGAGGCATGAAGTTATTCATCGACATATGTGGAAGCTGAACAAGTGGCACACATATGGCAGTATAGAGAAAAATGATAGATAATGAATGACACATATACAATGACAAGTATAAATATGATGAAATATGTGAAACAGCCTCCACGCGCAGAATGTTCAACGGGGGTCGTCTGAATGTGTCTCGCGGGGTTCCTTGACTTCGCTTTGGTGCCAGCATGTGCTAGTCACTAGCCCAGGTAAGCCAGCTGCGTGTGTATTCAAACTATCCCAAGCGACTTATCCCAAGCTAACAGTGACGCCTCGGCAAAGCAAACAAAGGGATTTGGCGAAGAAAGCTCCGTGGTAATCTTCTCAGTTATTGTGCAATTCCAACAAAAAATTGAACTGCCTGCCTGGTTCAAACAACCAAACACTATGAGTAAACTTCCTCGAACCATGCCCAACCAGGGACCCTTCTGATGGAATGACAAAACATTCAAACCACATAGCCAAGAGTCTCGCTGGTGCGGGCCTCGGTCCAAAGGAAAGTGTGAACAAACTTGGTGGAAAGAGTTTGACACACTTAGTCTGATCATCCGTTCGATCCAAAAAGTCATCCCAAATGCAACAATCCACATATCACGGAATATTTACTGTATAGTAATTAGTAATATATACAGTATATATATAATATATTAGGGTGGTTTATTGTGGTTTTAAGTTTTGAGCATCCTTTAGGGGTCCATGTAGGTAAATATATTCAATACATTCATTGTTGGGGATCGGCGTGTATAATTGTATATATATATATAACATTTATGTGCATAACATCCAGCCAACAAGTCAACAAGTCCCCTCATCTCCACCCATGTCGCCCCCGCAAAAAGTAAAACGGAACACACCAAAACCCAAGGGGGAGACTGCCGACACCTCCTTCCCCCACCGCCCCACCGACACCTCGGTTCTCCAAGGGGCTGCCAAACCTGGGCCAGGTCCGGGGAAAGGGCGAGCTCACATGAGCTGTAGTGGAGCCGGGGAAAGAATCGATGGGGGAAAGCCGAGGTCGCATGAGAGCGACATGCCCCGGCTCCACTTTAGCTCCGGGCTTTTGGATGGGGGAAAGCCGAGGTCTTCGTGCCCGATCGAGAGTGAGCCCTCCTTGAGGCATAGGGAGTGCCCAGGTCCGAACGGAGGATAGGGGTGCCCCTTCTCCACTGATACGGGGTGCCCCTTCTCCACTCACTTCAGGACTTAAGGACAAACACCCACCCCGACATGTGACTCCTGGTCCCCTTTTTTAGGGACCAAGGGCTGCGTGCCGAAACGGAGCGTCGACCGCAACAGGTGAGGAGAAAAACTCGCGACAGGTCTGGGTGAAAAAACAGCTCAAAACTAGCCCACTCCTCCCTTCCAACATCATATGGCCGAGCGAAAAAAGAAAGCACACCAACCCGGTGCACGGCCGCAGTGAGTGCCAGATCAGCACAGCTTGCCGGCGTCAGATCTAACCATGCTTCTGAGGATGTGGTTGGAGCCCTAGGGTCTATATGATCCAAGTTGCTTGGAAGAGGATCCATCTGTTCTCCATGTGCGCCACAAAAATATCAAACATGACCATCTCACACTGGCTGGGCTGCCACCAGAACACTAATTATATAAGCCCATTACTAACGTTTGTAAATCCACACAGATCGCCCCTTCAGCGGATCACGGATCCCTTCGATCGCCGGGTTGCAGCTGGTACTGCCAAGGCTGCGCACCAGCTTCTCCTTCACCTGGTGCGGTGACCCTTCGCCACGGCCCAAAAAAAGGGCCCACAGGACCTGGAAAACTGGGCCTGGACGCCAAAAGGTTATCATGGGTACTGCGAAGTACTGCAACTGGGCATGGGCCGTCAGACCCCACCCCAGTGGGAGTGATGCAAAATCTCTGCTTCGTGACCACCGCCAGTGGCGTTTGCCCTGCGAAGACCTTACCGCGTCCACTGCAACACGGATCAACCCGGTCCTGCCACCGCTGCTGCGAAGCTAAGCCTTCATGGCCCTCTTTGCAGTCCTGCCTGCGGAAAAGCCAACGGGTTCACCGACCCGTTCTGCGAAGCTAAGCACCCGTATTTGGTGGATTCAGTGGTCCTATTTGGGGGGTTTGGGGGATGAAACGCCTGTGGCGTTTTGGTCTGCAGCTGAAACCATTCGTCCCTAGATGCCCCATTCGGATCAGTGAAACCATTCGTTGTCGCTCTTGTGAGGTCAGAGGTTTCCAATCCCTTCAGAGCGGTTGAACATGTTGAAATTGCTGAGAAGCAAATGGGAGCGATGGAGCAACAGGAGGACTTCTTTGACTAACCTGCACAAGTATCATTTCACCAAAAATCATGCTCAGCAAATCACAGTTGCCAACAATAGGAAGGGGCCTAAAGGGATCTCATATATCTATCTATCTATCTATCTATCTATCTATCTATCTATCTATCTATCTATCTATCTATCTATCAGAACCGCGCTGGTGTTCAAGATCAAATGGACCCACTGAAATCTACAACAGCCAAGCCCAACGGAGTTCTAGGACACTGTTTGATCTTAACATGACTTTCACCACCAGACACCAGCCACATCAGGGAGACATGGTCAAGCTGTTGCTGTGGGGTTACGGGTCGGTCTCTCCCACTTCGAAAAATTAAGCAGCGCCAGTGTGGCCAGCTATGACCAAGTCGATTGGCAAAGCCCAAAATACCCAGCTACCAGGGCGCTTTGCCCCAGTTCCAAGATGTTCCAAGCACCAACTGGCTAAGATGTTAAGCGGTGAAGCGCGCACTGTGAAGGGATGAGTGCTGAAAACTGGGGGCGAGCTGCAAAAGGAAGCCAGTCCCTTCCACAGAAGCAGCGCCAGCAACCTCAGCAAACGTGCTCACATGTTCCCCAACATGCCCCAACAAAGCATGCGCCAAGCAGTTTCCCAAGCACTGCGGAAGAGACATGGATGTGCGACAACAATGTCCTTCCACAAAAAAAACAACCTTCTTCGGACTCAACTTTGCCTTCAAGAAGTTTGGACCCTCAAAGGACGGCGATGGATTCTGGTCGCCACCTTGAAGTCTTCAACCGGACCACCCCGCCGAGTCGCGTCCAAGCAAAGACCTGATAGGCGGTTCACCAAATGCCCATCGGCCTGCGGCCAAAAACTTCGGTTCCAGGGTCAAACTGAGAGAGGTTAAGTGACCGTAAATAGGACCCGTCACCTGGGGTACCTATGGGATAGCCTGTAGGGGCCTTGAACCTCTGTTGGAAGTTTCCAAAGGTCATCCAATCTCCCAACGTGAGTAACCCGAAGAAAAGGACCACGCGGTAACGCGGGAAACCATTTTCTGTCGGGGGGAGCGGGAGTTCTAGGTGCTCGTTTCCAAAAAGCTTGGTGCTTTTTTGCATGAATTAAATGCACGCGCGATATGAGATGGTGAGCTCGAACAGGTTTATGGAGTTCTAGCATGTCCATTCCAGCCCTGGGGCTCCAACCATATCCTCAGAAGGTGGTTAGACCCCCAAAACCCACCCCAACCACCTTCTCAGGAGGTGGTTGGAGCCCTAGGGCAGTTATGTTTATGTCTGACGAAGCGACCGATGACGACTGCGGCAAGCGGCAAACAGGCCCGAAGACACACTGAGGTCCCAAATCTGATCGCTGTGGGGACACCTGCGCAGAAAAGGGTGTCGGGACATCTCGGTCTCTTCGGCTGAAGAATATGGACCCTTCTCTGGCTTAAGACTCCAGCACAAATCATCCAGTTGTGAGCTAAGATCTGAACATCCCTGCAACAGCCGGCTGCTCCTTTCTCAAAAGCGGGCCATGTCAAACACATCAAACGGGCTCAAGCATGGCCGAGTCGGAGTCAACTATCGACGGCCCATGGGAGCAATACATCCTGTGGATACACATGGACAAGTCTCCTCAAACCCTTGTTGCTGACCTAGCAACACATGCGTTTCCCACGGAAGATCTGTGCCTGGTCAATTTGAGGTCCGGGTTCAAGCACTTGTCGTGGGACCTGGTCAGGATAAAGAGATCGAAAAAAAGGCAAATAGAACTTCCAAAACACTTTGAGTTGCTGGTCAGCCCCATTGGTAATCATTCTATAGTGCACATGGAGTGTCTGGAGCTAGTAACATCTAAGGCCAGCATCACGAGCAAATGCCTCGAATGTCTATAGTTCACCCATTTGGGCTTTATTTGAGGGACGCACTTTAACACATCACACATGTACTTGGATGTGCTTCTGAAACTGCTAAGTGACAAACCCTAAAACCTATTCCCCAGAAGGATGGTTCACCCAGGACGCAAACAGCACTGGAAAAAGCCGATCCGCAAGACCAGGTACAACTAGATATAGCCTATATATATATATATAGTCATAGTCGTGCAGACTATATATAGTATTATATAAGTTATGCGTAGGATTCTACTAAGGGATCCCGCCAAGTATTGTCGCTTTCGCCACGGAAACATTGCAAACGGCCCGGCGCTGCTTGCTGCTCGGCTCCGCCTGCTCTTCAAGAAGCCCTCTACCGTGAGATGCCAGGTCCTCATATCCCAGAAGTGGTTTTCAGGGAACATCTACGGGAAAACTTATATAGTATTAAAAGCAAAAACCATGGATTTCCGGCCGATCTTCCCTTGAAAAGCACCCTTCCTGGGATCCTGGTCGCACCGACCGCGTGCAACAACCCGCGTGCAATCTCGCGACGAGCGGTCGGTGGTGACCAACCGTCTCACCGACCCAAGTTCGCCATGAGACCCTGAAGGCATAGCATACCATTCTTGGAAGGCCCGGTTCCACGGTATATAAATGAAGCTGAATTGTGATGAATTGTGTTGTCTCAACAAAACTGTGAAAGGACCCACTTCTACATGTTGACTTCCACCTGGCATACACCTGGACCCTCAAACATGGCCACATCTCCAGGATCTGATGCGTTCTCACCCGCCCACGGCCGGGTTCGCCGCGTTTCATCCGGTCAGGAAGCTGGTTCTCTGTAGCACGGCCGTCGGAGGATCGGCAGGCTTCTTGTATGACAAAGGCTTCGTGGAAAGCATCCTTGACCTGAGACATGGATGTTGGACCCAACAGAGGTTGAATGACCCGACTGATCGATGATCCCAGTTGGGGTACCCCAGGTGACGGGTCCTATTTACGGTCACTTAACCGTTGGACTGTCCAGGACTGTTTGTGAGGACTGCCTGCAGCTCAATTGGCCCCACTTGTAAACACACATTGGATGAAGGGTGCGATGTTCTCTCGAATTGTGGTGCACCAGGTGCACCCCACCACACTCCAATGCCTGCCAAGAGACCGTCATGCATAGGCTACTCAGCTCACTAATCACACGGCCATCCTGATTCTGGGTCAGACACCATTTTCCCAGAATGCACCAGGTATACGTTTTCTGCCGCCAAAATGCACCTTCAATGTCTTTCAATTCTGACCCCAACACTCCCTGGGACTGGCAGATTTACCTGCGTTGAGGTTGAATTGGGGTGGGTTCAAGTGTCAAGGTAGGCATATTAGGCATATATAGTGCATGCATTCGTGTGTGTTGGCCGTCTCCCAAAAAATCACTGGACAGAAGAGAAATAGACCAAAACCAGTACCAAAACCCATGGATTGGGTGTCTCCCATGTTCAGTTGCACAGCCACATGGAGTGTCTATAGGAGATGGACCTCCGCATCCACTCCTGGAAGATGGGCCCCACATGCTACGACCCGCGGGATGTTGAAATTCGAGACAGGGCGTGGGATGTCAGAATTCACACACCACTGGACCACTGGTCAAAAGAAATGTCAAGTCATCAGCCATGTTATACCTAGAAGCACCTGGGGCAAGTATGTTGGAATCCATGTTTTTTCTCAATGCTTGGGAAGTTTAAGTTCCGGCAGGCGTCTGAGTCTGAAGGTGTGTGCGAAGCCTCATTCCTAAACGAACTATCGATAAGGTGACAGGAGTGAGTCCTCAAACAGAAGCTATGAATCAGTATGAACAAAAGGTGGGTGTTCCTTTTCTTCTGTCCCGTGTGGAAGGCCATGCAGCCCAAAAGCGGCCTGGCGGCCTTCGTCCAAATTCGAGCAAGAAAGCAACAGAATCATCAGGGGGTGTACAATCCACTCGCTCTTACAGAAAGGGGAAACCGTTCTGGTGACCCCTCAGGTCAGGTGATCAAAGGTGGTCCAACGGATTCTTAGGGTAGAGAAAGAACAACATTCCCCCTGGTTGGGCCGGTCATAGGGAACGAAGGGCCAATGTCCATCAGAAGCGGAAAGATCCAGAAGTGATCGTTGACAGGTTCTGGGTTCATCGTGCTGAAACAAGTTGTACGCGTTTCGAGTTGTATTTGACTTCAATGCATTTTCCAGGGTACGCTGGGACTTGGGTTCTTTTTGATGATTGTGCAAGCCCCATCGAAAGTATCAGCCTAGTATGGGCATCGTTAGCCTTCAACCTGCGGCAGCCGAGGAGATTTCAACTCCAGGAGCTTTTCTACTCAATGAGCTTCATCTGAAGCGTTGATAGACCAACGACCCTGCAAACAGTGGTGTCCCCCCAGCAAGGGAGAAACAGCTACCAGGTGGCGTCACCCTGTGCGGGGTTGGCGAACGATCGTCGTGCGAATGGCGCCCCAAACTCCGCCCGACCAATTCAGTTTTCAAACTATTAAACCTATCCCATTATGTAGTTTGCACAATTTATGGTATGCAGCATATTTAAATAGATACGCGTACATTAAGATACATTATATATACATATGAGTAATGTGTATACATACAAATCTCCATGCAATAGTGCACTGATGTGCACCGTGTCACTCTTCCAGCGAAGCCAGCGCCCTTGGAGCCCAGTTCCCCATGTTCCCCTCTCCGGACCAGTCGCCTCAATACGCCAACGCTGCCGTAGTTGCCGCTGGTCATGGCAAAGGCTGGCCTGGACCGTGCTGGCCTGAGCGCGGTGCAGGGTGCACAGCTTCGGACACCAAGCTTGGATGGCCTTGGTATTTATCGAATGGTTCGTCTCCAAAGCATTGAGTCCATAGAGTCCATGGCACTGCTAACCCTGAATGTACACAGGGTAATGAGGTAATCACTCTCGTCCTCTAAGTAGCTGGCGGCGTAAGGAAACTGGCCTTCGTTGATGCAAATGCACTTGCTGATGTAAAGGTTGTCCAAAACCGATGGTTGACCACAAGAGTCCCCTAAAAACCAAGCTGAGACACCTCCGAGCTCTGGACAGCACCAACACCATCCACGCAAAGGCCACTGAAACGATTCTTCAGGAAAATGCCAGGTACCTGAGTTGGATCGACAGTCATCTGTTTTTCGCCAGGCAACTCATCGCCAATAGCACGCCAATGGCACGCCAATGGCACGGAGCACACCGGCCGAACAGGGTGGCCACCAGTGGAGATGATAGCCGCACAATAACAAACAACATCATGCCCAGGGCAGTTGTCCTCCCATTCTGTTTGCTTGTGGGGCCATGGACTGTCTTCAAGGAGTGGAGAAGGCCAACAAGATCCAACAAAAGACTTTCTTTTAAGAGATTTTGTGAGTTTGACTTACACTTACACTGAAAGCAAGTAAGTAGTTTGGATAATGCGGACAGTTGATTTCTTGCATACAGGGGATGATATTAATAAATATATTTAAAAAAAAAAACAGTCCACATCATGAGTGCTTTGCTGATCACTTAATTGGTGATATGTTGAAACAACACCTACGGCAGTGCCCACCTCCCTGCACCAAAGAACAAGCGCATCCACCGCCCTTCATCGCACCTGCCCAGAGATGCCCAGCGGTAAAGCCCCCCCCGCGCCTCTTCCGCGAGGAACGGTGTCAATGGTTTGGGCGTCGCCCACGGGACCATCACCAGCGCTCGATCTCGAGCAGCCTGGACGGTGGCGAGTGTTGGCTGAAAACCCATCGACTCGATGCAGTCTCCAAAGGAAGATTAGGATGTCATACGACCAAACTGGTCGTAGGTCGATTTGTCATACTCCATGTTGCAAAGGAATCTAACTTGTCATACTACCAATGGACAAGTTCCTGGACTTTCGGAAAGTTGCACACGTCGCCGACAGGCTGAACCGCTGAACCCAGATTGATAGTCAAGACCGTTCGCACAGTTCTGGACCCGTTTTGCAGTGCCGATGTGATGAAATTGCAATCTCCGCACGCACGACATTTACTTCTCGCACACCTGGGATATAGTTGTCATAACTTACGTTGACAACACTTTCCAGTGTTTCCGTATGTCTTCCTTCAACTTCCTGAGGCACGCAGCGTCAGCCTGCTCACCACTCGGAGGTCCACGGTTGGCACATGCGCTGAAGAGTTCGGCTTGAGCGCCACCCATGGAGTGTCCCGCTGTCACCAACTGGCCAAAGCAGTGAACTTTTTGAGATTGGACACTTCTAGTGATGCACTGTAAGAATATGTGCGCCATCGTGCTCCTACTAGTACCTCTCAATGCTATCTTCTCAGGCGCTTGGAGTCCTTGGGGTGGATTTGGAAGATTCAGATTGCGAGTTATTGTGGACATTGACATAGTGACATAGAACTTCATCGTACTTTGTTGTGTTTAGGAGGACGAGCATCCGGCAACCTTGGTGAGAAGAAACCTTCAGGAGGGGACCCTGGAACTCTTACATTATATTGTAATTTCGCATCTTTGAACACAGAACTAGCTCTCAAAGCGGATTGGCCCAAAAGTGCACATAAACAACCAAGTCTTGCCAAGTCGAAAGCGAAGCCGTAGGAAGCCGTAGTGACCACACGAGCGACGGGATGGGGATTGGGATTCCCCCACCTGGGAGCAAAAGGGCAGCTTGGCCCGGATCGCGCGGTCATAGTCATCGCCTCACTGAGGCAAAGAAGGGTTTCCTTAATGTGAAGACTATATTTGCATTTCTTAAAGCTGGGTGGGGTAGGCTGTAGCTAGAGGTAGCTACTACCTACAAGTAAGCTACTACATATGGAAGCAGGATAGCTCACGCTTCTTCAAGGAAGCAGGCGGCAGGGGGGAGCTTCCTTGAAGAAGCGCTCGAACTATTCATTTGGCTCCTAGATTTTGAGGGGAACTTAACATGCACGTGGGATGTGGTTCACAGCCACACCCCCGCCGCCCCCATATGAACCAACAGCATCCAACAGGCACTGGTATTTAAATCGCTCGGCCTTGAGAGTGCGGACAAAGAGACAAATCATCTGTCATCTGTCCACAAACCATTTGATGTGCTGAGACGCTGAGACATACCATATATACCGGATACATGATACAAATTGATACAAAGTGTTTCTGTGTGGCCTTTTGCCATTGTCTCTTAAACGTCTGTGCTTTGGGCGCTTGCAAACCAGAACGCTTTCCAACATGGCCATCAGCTTCTCCTTGAAGCCGCGATGAACCTCATGGTATCCGCAGAAGTCCTCTGTGGCGATCTCCACATCGTAGACCCTTAAGGAGACCGCGGGTCGGGCCGACGGAGCACGGTCAGACGGAACGCGGAGCCCAACGGGGCCCAACAGGGCCAACAGGGCCGGTTTGGCCAACCCTCATGCCTCCCCATGCCTCTACCAGGACCCACAAGGGGTGGTTAATGGACACCCCTTAACCTCTAAGGCTCTAAGGGGCCATCAATAGACACCCCTTAGGGTGTCCTGGTATATCTCCATCTTGCATGGAGCACTCATTAAGGTGGACCTGCAGCCTCGAAGGATCTCGACTGATCAACCCGGCACCTTCCAACAAACGTCGACTGGTCTCAGTGGAACAGGACAATAGGTCTTCCTACCCAAAATCCATCAATGACCTCCAAGATACTGCATGTACATCGGACGTGTTCGGTCTCACCAGTTATTTTTGAGATCTTGAGCGCGATAGGGCTAAACACAGGCACCCAGTGCCCCGGAATGTCAATGACCTCTAAGGCCAGGAAACTGCATGAAAGCACTTAATGTTTGTGTGCTGTTTGATCGACCGAAGTCGGAATGACCGGCCCAAGGCGATGGCAATCCAAGCGGCCAATCGCTCGCATCGTTGCGATCACCTAGGCAGTCGCGTCCGCCACTAGCCATGTCTTTGCGACAATGAACCCCATGCGGGTGCATTCTTGCTGCAAATTTCCCACAAAACCGTAACATGAACATCCACTAGATAAATGCACACTCCCATGCACCAAAACATCCAAAACCACCACTTGGATACAAACCTAAAAAATGTGGCCAAGCGCCTGGTGCGATCTGACAACCAATGATATTCAGAATCTTGTGGGCCTATATAAATGGGCCTAAGCTAAATCATCTCCCTCCAAAGAGTGCATTCACATTCCCAGGTCCGGTATGTGTATAGACTAGACCTCCTCTGTGACCCATCAACAAACATGATAGTTGATTGATAATGTTTGAGGATCCTCAAAATGTAGGTCAAACCGATCAAAAATCTCGAGATCCATGCTCCAAAGCCCGTCAGTCGTACCCAAACTATCCATGGGACTTGGAAGAGTCTCCAGCAGTTCCCAAGGGCTGCGGGCTGCCTAGTGGTGGTCTGGGTTGGCAAGTCCTCTTCCAGTCCCACCCTCTCGTCAAGCAGCTGCCCTCGAAAGCAAGGACGCACTCCAAGCTCCTGGGTGCGAAAATGCGATCCCCAAACATTGCCCTTCCCCGATGTAGCACATAGCATCCAACACAGGCTATCGAGTATGGACCACCTTTTGTTCTAACAGCTACTCTTTCTCTCTCTCTCTCTTTTTTTTTTCTCTCTCTCTCTCTCTCTCTCTGTGTGAGTAAGTCAACATTGTACGTCGCATATATATATATATAAATATACATATACAGTTTAAACAATTCAACACCAAAAACAAACACTGAAAAAAAATATATATATATACATACTTATACAATCTTATACATCAACAAATCTATTTAAGCATATGACCAGGGATGATGGATCGTGACCTGTCAGACTGTCCATCAAAGGGTCCTCGGATGCTGGAAGAGTGCTGCATGGTCATGGAAGCTCACCACAGATGCCTGGGACGCCACGGAAACGGACGGCGTGGTGTCGCTCAACCACGGAAACGATCCGAAGAGGTGGCGAAGAGGTGGGAGCCCCTTCCGGGCGGAGCCTCATGGCGTGCGGTGGGCAGCGATTCCGCGTAGCCGACCAAGTTCCAGCCCCAGCGCTCAGCATCCACGTCAATCGTTGGCCTCGGGACACTCCATGGCCCGGCATGGCCCAGGGCAGTAACAACTCCTCCGAGTCACTGAGATGGAAGAGGAAAACTGGAACATGGTCATCCAAGGGGCCATGTTCCACTTCCGTGATTGTTTCAGGAGTTAGACTCGGATCTAAATGCATCATTGTTAATCAACCAAAAGAATCGCTGCAGAAGAAACCCTCTAAAAAGAACAACATAGGGAAGAAACCGACAAACACACAAAGTCAACTATAGTATATAGGAATAGACAAACGAGGAGTTCACTAACTATTAACAGCCTTAACAAGGACCAGTGATTCTTCACAACTCTTGGAACAGCCCTATCCTCATCATGCCCAACAAATGGACACTCTTTGACCATCACCACCCCAATGAGTGGCGGATGATGATAGTGGATGGATCCAAACTGTCGTCCCTGTATAGTCACTGTAGCGTCGACGCCGGTTGACGTGGAGAAGCGCGACTCGTTTGGAAGGACCCGATCCATTGCCATCGGGTGGCACGTCGGGAACGTAAATGACAAAGGTGAAGTGGCACATCAAATAGGCCTGCGCGGCATCTCTGGACTCTGGACTTCCAACGTTTTGGAAGCGGGGGACGTCGAATGACGGTCATTTCGTGGTGGCGCTCGGCATCGCAGCAGGGTGAGTCAGGGTGAGTGTCATCGAGTGTCACTCCATGCTGCTCATCAATCTGAACCAAGTGGGGAGTTATGAAGAAGAGCGGGGGGTGGAGCTCTTTTTCAACGGTACTGATGTACAACACTGGTGAACTAAACGGTACTTATGCGCATTCCTCATCCAACCATCGCAGCTAGATCCCCATCCGTCATCCGCAAAAGGTATCACTCTTCAGTGTCCACCTCCAGCGTCCCAACAGTCCCAACAGTTCACCCAATTGAGACCGTCAGGCCGAAGCCTCCAAAAGAGACCTGTTGAGTCGGGTGCTGGTTGAAGGGACATGGGGTTGGTCGACCTTCATGGTTGTCCCTTCGGCTCAGCCAACTCTGGAAGTCAACAAGTCGGTCAGTGGTACCTCAGTCGGTGAGCTGAACTCGCCGCTCTTGTGCAAGATCTGTCCATCCGCCAAAGAAGAAACTTAAATATACCAAAACTATGATCTAAAAGATTCCAAAAGAGACACATATATCATATATGATTATAAAATAGTTATATATGATCATATATGTTTCCTACGGGGAACCGCTAAAGTCACCCCACGCTGTCCCACAAATGTCTCCCCCCCATGGAGGTGGAGGAAACCAGAAGTCACCACAAAGTCTTCTTGTCTCTCCCATTGGAATTCCAATTCTCAGGGGATACTGAAAGCAATGTAAAGGAGATGTCTCCTCGGATGACGTCTGCTCGGTGTACTCCCGAAGAAGTCGTGTCAATGTCCGCCTTCAAATGATCTCATGGTGACATCGCGGAAAGCCCAGGACTTCTGGAAGACTTCGGAGACTGGAAACGGAGGAACAAAACCTCATTCAAGTTGGACGAAATAGCGTGGATCATCAAACAACAAAAATCCGGAAGAAAAGGATCCTCCCATCACATGCGACCGAATCATGGGAGGGAACAAAACGGTTGGATTTGTCATCGAGTAGTTGTGTGAGAAAACTCTCCATGAACACTTTGTGGAGAAAGTGCTCTCCGTTCACTCAAGGTGGCAGCATCTTCTAAATCTTTCACCAGTATTCACCAGTCAAGCCACTTCAATGTGTTTTCACATTTTTCTAGTACCGTCCTTGCTACTAGTAGCGATGCACCTTGTTACTAGTAGCTTCTTGTCACTAGTAGCACTGGGAATGCCACAAGCTACTAGTAGCGTCCTTGTTACTAATTACGACGTTACGAGTGTCATTCACATCTGACCCTCCCCACTAACCATGTTTGGAGCCCTCTTCCAACACCTCCTCTGCACTGCCCGTCCAGTGCCGGTCCTTCTGCAAGTCCTTCAGTTCAGCCAGCGGGGCTTGGGAAACCTGCGTGCGCAGAAAAGCTGCGGACGTGGAGACGTGAGACTTTTCGAATTATGAAGATTAAAATGCTGTTAAAACACATTGGAAGGTGTCAGCCTAAGCTAACTTTTGCAGGCTGTAGTTATAAACTCCATATAGATACCCCAACGGCCCTACGGTTTAGAGGATAGCTATTATAGCTATCTTCTAAACCGTAGGGCCGTTGGGGTATCGAAATACCTTTTTCCAGAAGGTACGACTGAACCCTCCTCATACCTACATCAAAGAGTGTCCAATCACCCTCTCAAAGGGTAATGTGGATCCATAGGGGTATGGCAAACCTCTTATACCAATCACTTTAATGGCCCCCTGACGGCTCTTACCCTCTCAATGTTGAAGTGGGAAACACCGGTCTTGCATGTAAAAACCAGCGCACTGGACCTGTCGAAACCGCCTTCCTTGTTGGGGTTCGACCTTCGTCAAACCACTGATTAGGCTTTCCCGGTGGTGTTTCGACCTCCTGATTCCTTGGGAGTTCTGGCATTGACGTGTTGTTTGGTATTGGAATAGGCAGAAGGCCAGTCAACACCTTCTCCGCAAGATGGACCACAACCGATTGGTGGGGGTGGTTCCCAGGTTCCCTATTGAAATACAAACAACATCACAACATCGACGCAGTACACAGCCTACAAGCAACGGCGGTAGTCACCGCCAGTTCTTGTTACCAAGTCTTCCCCATGGAACTCCGCACAGCCACGAGGCTGAAAAGTCACCGCCACACCGTCGCCCACTGTAAACGCAACATAAACTAAGACCTTTCACCCAATTCGGACGCTCCAGCAAGGTGAGCATACACCGTGCAGTTCACAAAAACTTCACCGAAATAAGCCCAGGCGCCTGCGGCGACTCCTGTGCCGAGTGAACACAGGGGATTGCTTGCTTCGTGGCTGCAAATGATATATAGAATAAACCTTCTACCACCGAAGAATACCAAAGAGTGATACTTATCACTCCATTTTGCAATTATCAATCTTTTGGACAGTGGTGAGACAGCAACTCTGGAGGTAAAAAAACATCCACTGTAAGTGTGGTCAGATTGTGTGCATGTTGCGTTCCCAAAACTTCTTTGTGTTCGCAACACGTTGCAAAGCAACAAAGCCCGTTCTGGAGCAACTATTCTTACTCCCAAATGCTTTTTGTCACCCCACTTCCCCAAAGATTGTTAATCTCAATTTGGAGTGACAACTCACTCTCAGGGGGGGGGCACCAGGAATACGAAACTCAAATCACCGCACACGTCGATAACAATTACAACGTAATACAATCATTATGACATCTCATTGCCATTGGATGCCATTGGCATGTTCCTCCATTTCCTCAGCTTCTTAACGTCCCCAAATATGAAGCAACAATGTAAAGCGACATTGGCCGGTACAATGATTCTGCAGGGCTCATGGCAGGGATGAAATACATTCTCCACGGAATCCAAAACCTCTGTTCTGAACACACAAAGTCAACAATATCCAAGCTTTTGTCAACCTAATAGCGATGACCTCCAAGCTAGAAGCGATGGCCTCCAACTTAGAGATTCTTGATTATTGCTAAAAGCCATGCTTTTCGGATGGGCAAAGGTTAACCAGCACAACTCGTGTTACAAACCACGACATCACTCGCCGGACTGGCACTCGTGTGTAGAAAGCGACTCAGCGACGTAGAAAGCGGATTGTCCGCTGTGTCGTGGCCTCGAAAACCGCCTTTGGACCTTTTGGGATTGTCCGCTGGGTCCTGAGAATTCCTGATGTTGCCCACAGGAGGTTTTGATCACTTGGTCTAGGGGGAATATATCAAACCCCCTTCAGAGGCACCGGTGCACCTGGAATCGGGATGAAGCCCCGGTCGACTCCCGGCTCCTCATGTCTGGCTTGCAGGTGGTGCTTCAAGGCCGCTTCATATGAGACATGCCTGGCAGGGACGTGGCTGAGGTCCACGGACTCGCCAAATCGTTTGTCTGGCCATTTCTGGAAGGAGGGATGCCAAAGTTCAAGCTGCATCCACGGGCCGGTTACCTCTTTGACCGTTCTGTTAGTGCCACATTCCAGCATATTCCGCCTGTCCACTATATTTATAGATGTGCACATGTGCCGTGCGACTGCTTCCGTCCACAACGACCAACGGGGCGCTGCTCCACCCTTCAATCCACCAGAAGGTGTCAGCGGGAGGATCCTCCGTCGAAGCCTCAGAGGAGCAAAGCTGTTCTTTTTTGCCCCAGGGGCTTCCAATGATCCCTAAAAACATATTCATAAAAGGAACCAGGACTTCTAGGTGTGTGGTGTTTGTCTTTGGAACTAAGTTCGGGGCGAGAACAAAATATCTTTCAGCCCTGGGCAGCCCATCAAGGTGTTTCCTGTACTTCAGTGAGTAACACTAAGAATGATTAAACCGGCGTTGGATCGATTACAAGAGAGCAAAACAACCAAAAAGAGTGAACCATATTGAAGTACGATCCCAAACATTCCATGGAATTTGAAACAGTTACCGACCAGTTGGGGTGGTTTGAGGGATCAAGGCATACAATACATGGATAACCCCCAGCCCGAAAAAACTAGATGAACCATGTAGATTCCTTGCTACTCTGTGAACGGCCCCTTTGAGGAAGGTCACGGTGCGACCGTTCGACACATCTACCTCGGCCGGCGAACGCCCCCCAGCCTGCCTGCCCTGCTGCCTGCTGCCCCCCAACCCCCCAACCGGCTCGAGTTCCAAGGTGCACGGCACGGCGAAATTTCATCTTCCATCAGGTTGAGCTCCCAAAGCTCCAAGGAGCGCATCCTCGAGGGAAGGTCGAAGGGTGCCAAGTGGAAGGTCGAGCAGGGAAGGTCGAAGGTGATCAATTGGAGCACTATCCAGAAAGAAAGGAAACTGAATGGTGATAAATACATGTAAATATTTTAAATACTGTATTAAATATATAATGTAATACACCATGTAATACACCGGGAGTCACAAAGCGGTGGTGTTTAGTCCCTAAGTGAGTGGATAGTGGGCACCCTTATCCTCCAGTAGGCACCCCTTTCTGACTCCTGGTGTGTGTATAGTATGTATGTATTGCAAAGCGCGGAATGAGCGCACACACGAACCTTTTGGGGCTCGCGGGAGGCTCAAGGCCTAGGTCCGGGGTTCGAACCGAGACATCACGGAACATGAGCTCGTGACGTCCCACCTTGCTGTCCTGTCGGCTGTCAGTTCGTGAAAGGTCAATCGCATGGTTCTTCAACTTTACATTCCTCAACATTCTGTGGCCTTTCACGCTCTGACACCTGGACATCGTGATGTGAGCTACTTGCTCCTGATGTTGATATCAGGGCTTCAGGATTAATCTCATCAGCAAGCATCTGCATTTGTTGGCTGATGCTATTGATGTTTTCTTCATCTTTGTACACGCATGCCGCTTCCCACATCACTGTCAGCAAAAAGTACTTCTTTTCTTTTCTGGTAATCTTTTCCCATTTGTCCTGAGTCATGCCGATGTTCTCCCTTGTCGTTGCATGATGATCATCTCCGTGATCTTCACCCAAACTCTCATCTTCGTCATGCGGGGCCAGCCGACCATCTGCTCCTGGCTCCACAAATAACTCCGGCACTGCGGGGTCTTCCAGCATGCTCATGACTTCTGACTCCGTTGGAGTCCCTGGGGCTTCTCTTCTGTCCTGCCTCTTCAACAGGATTGCTCGCTTCTCATCTGAACTCATGGATGGGGTCCGATGCCTTTTCTTTTGCTTCAGACGTTTCTCTAAATCCAGAGCTCTCACTTCTTGTCGTTCTTGTTTGTATTCAATCCTGATCAACCTGTCAGTGACTTTTGTGATCCTGAAATTGCTTTCTTCTGCAATGTCGTCCATTTTCTGGTAGGTGAACCGGTTGCTGTCACCAATGAACGCTGAGACTTTCTTGAAATCCTCGTTGATGGCGTGCTTCATGCGGTCCATCCCTGTCAGCATGATGTTGTTCTCATTGAACATTTGTGACATACCTGCATGAATCAGCTCCTGAGTCTTCTTGCGTTCTTGGCCCAAAAGGGTGAAGATCGTTGATGTCTTTTCATCAAGTCTTTTCACCAGCAACACTATCATGATCACCATTCCACCCCACATCAACAGCAAACATTCTGAATTCTGTGAAACTGTTGTCTTCAACCCGATCACGACCACCAGCATTGTTGTGAGCGAAACAAGTGCACCTTGTTTGTACAATGCAAGGTCCTCATACCACAAAAACCACTCCGTGTAGTAAGTCGTGTTGTACCAAAAGAGACCTGTCAGCACAATGATCACGCACGCAAACATCAACTCCCATGGAAACTGGGGCAGGATCGTCCTCACGTCCGGCTCGGCATTTGTAGGGAGGAACTGCTGTGCAAATGAAATCATCAGTACGGACTTCGCACTTACTCCGGGACTTGTGGATATATGGGTTGTCCTGTTGGGGCTTGCTGAACTTTCATTCTCCTCAAGTTCAATCGGCTTCTGGTTGATCATCTCGGCTTCTTCATGGCTGTTCACCTTTTCTGGCTTTGGCTTTTCTTCTGGGCTTTCCAGCTTCCGGCTCCTCGATGTCTCTGGCAATCTTGGATCTGGGCCAAGTGTCCACTTGTTGGAGTAGAGCACATCATTCAAATAAGCCAAGCCTTTTCGATGAAGCGCCTTTGTCAATGCATCTGCCAGTTGTTGCTCTGATGGCACCCACTTGCATTCAACACCTTCTTGCAAGCTTTGTCGGATGATTGCTGCCTCCAAGGACAGTCTGCGATCAGAAAGCAACACACGTTCTGACTTCATGCAATCATATAGTGATCTGCAATCTGTCACCGTGACACCTGGCACGCGATGCAAATGTTCCTTGTAGTGACGCATGTCCAAATCTCCATGCAACACTTCCAAAATGGTCGCTCTCAACCAACTGAGGGCATCCAGAGCTTCTGAGCAGGAATAGGCTTCAGCACTCAAGGTTGACCGCACCACTCTTTGTATCTTGGATGATGTCCAATGAACAAAATGAATGTGGTGTACCTTCGTCCGGTCCTTGATCAACTCGGGTGTTGAAATGCCCAGCCAATATCCCTTTTGGCTCTTGTGACCTGGAAGATTGTTGAAGGATGCATCATGGACTGCTACCACTGCAATGTCTTCCGGTTGCCAAGCCATGCCTGGTCTAAAAATGAGCTCCTCTTCTTGATGGTATTGTTTGACTTCTCTCACCAACTTTGATGCTTCCTTGAGGCTTGACATCCTCAAATCCTTGATCTCGCTGGCAAGTCTGCTGACCTGGAAACCAATGGAGTACCCCATAATCCGGGCATACCGCTGCAATTGACCAAGTAGTCCTCGAAATGCCTTGGTTTCGCTTGGTGTCAGCTTTGCATTGTTGTCTTTGCCACGTTCTCGACTGACCTTGTAGGTGCTCATGTTCTCCACATATTCCTGAGCATGAACATGGATTGTCCCGTCCTCATCCTGGTGATAGGATCTGCCGCAGAACTTCAAAGTTCCATCAGTCCTCCATTGCCCCCATTCAACTTCTTTCTGCATTTGTTCTTGCATCTTCTTGCATTCTTCGGGATATTTCTTCTCATCCCACGCAATGAGGACATCGTCAACATGTAAAGCCAAAATGGCTATCACTTCTTTTGAAGCTGGGTCACGAAGCACAAAACCGGCAAGCTCGAATGTCAAGCTTTCCCAGCCCAAACGAAGGAGGATTCCCTTGATGGAATGATACCACTGCCTTGCGGCATCGTTCACGCCGTAGATGGATTTCTTGAGTTTGAGCAAGGCACCTGGCTGCACTCCTGGAATCTGAGCCTTTCCAAGATTCTTTGGAGGCTCAAAGTACAGCTCACGGTCAATCTTCAGCCCTTGCAAAAAGGCTCCTCTGACATCAGCTGCTGTCAACTTCATCAGCCTTGATGATGCCAGGCTGCAAATGACCTGAACCAACAATGTAGAGCATGTTGGCGAATCACGACGGAGGTTCTCGTCGTACTCTTCTTGAAAGCCTCTGCCAACGACCCTGCACTTCAGCACAAGCTCTTCCTTTTCATTTTCATCTCTCTTTTCATCATCCTTCTTTGTCCAAACGCCTCTTGAGGAAATCACTTTCTCCGGGCTTTCCTTCCGGATTTCCTTGCTTTCATCCGGAGGCACGATGTCGATGGCATCAAAGCGTTGCCATGTGCCAATTTCTTTCTCCACAGCCTTTTGCATAGCTTCCTCGATCTCTTTGTCTGTGAACTGTGGAAGCTGTGACCTCATCTTCTGAGGGTTTAGCTCCGTGTGCTTGTTCCTTTTGGTGTAGGTGTCCATCCTCTCTGCTAGGAATGCCACACACATTGTTTCTCTCTCTTCTGCGGACATCTCAACTCCACCAGATGAGTCCACCTCCTTGTCTTCAAGCCTTCGTCTCATCGCTCCACGAATGGATTCTGGTACATCATCAAGTAGAAGATCACGTTTCCTCTTGTGTTCTTCATCCAAAATGGAACTTGATGGCATACTCGAAGGTTCATCTTGACTTCCTTGAGGAACAGATTGTTCCTCAACATTCTGTTGCTCTTTGGCCTCTTCAATCTTCTTCTTTCGTTTCCTTCTCTTCTTGCTTGAGCTTTCCTCGGGTTTCTTTGGTCTCCTCAGCCTCTTAGTTTCATCTTGATCATCATCTGCTGCTTCTGTTGTCTCCTCTGCTTCACCTTCTTTCTTCCTCTTTTCATGCCTCGCAATTCTCTTCATCTCACGGACTTCACGGGATTCATCACCACTGGATGTGCATTCGTCTTGATATGTCCGTGCCATCTCCTCTTCTTCTCCTTGAGTAGGTCTCTCTGCTGCGGCACCATCATCAACTGGAGGTTCTGTAGGTGAATAGTCTCCAGCCTTAGCATCTTCTCCATCATCGTCAAGATCAATGGGATCTTGAGGTTTTGAGAGGTCCAAAAATCCTTGTTGTCCACCTGGTCGTGCTGGTAGTGTGTCATCATCTTCCAGCATCAATTCTTGTTCCTCTGCAATTGCTCTTCTCAAATTGTGAGGATGCGCCAAAATAGGCGAGCCGCGATGAATGAGCCAGTAGCCTTGAAGATCTTTGCCAATGACTCGAGCTGGTCCATGCCACTGCTTGTACACCTTGTGTTTCAAGCCTTTCCTCTTGTACATCACGAGGCTGTGCATGTCAAATGGACCTGGCTGTTGACGAGTCTGTGACAGCAATGCACGACGAAGCGATGCTGAATGATTGGCTTTCACAAAAGCATGTTCACAATCTTGTAGTAGCTTCATCCGTTGTGCCATTGCGAAATGATCTTCGTTGTCAGCTATTGGGATTCGTCTTCCATCACTCATGATCTCCGGAAGGTTGGGTTGAAAACCAAGGACACATTGAGCAGGCGAAAATCCTCTGAAGTTCGAAAGTCTGTTGATCGTCTGGGTGCACTGAATGACCGCCACTCTTGACAATGTAGCACCACGGATTTCACTGTCATGCACCAATTTCAACATCATTTCTTTCACTGTCAGAATCTTTCGCTCCACAATGCCATGTGACCAATGTGCATCTCGCGCCACAAGGATCTCTTCAATCCCATAGCGATCCAACAAATCACGGAAATCGCCTCTGAGTGATCCATCTTGGTCCACCTGCACTTTCTCCGGACCACCAAACACTTCCATCCAATCCATCAGTGACTTTCGGCACTGTGATGATTGTGGCTTCTTTGGTCTTCCAGGATTGTCACCTGAACATAGGTAAGATGCCATGGTATAGTTTGTTGCCATGTCAACCATCATCAAGAAGGAATGCATCACATCATCTTGATCGGGAATGTGTGCAATGTCCATGGCAACACACTGGTTGAAGTGATTGTACTTGGGCACGGCAGCGATTGGCTTTGCTGGACTGCGTCTCTCCTTCTCACATGTGGGACATGTGAACAGCATTGCCGCCTTGATTGCCCGATCTGAGGCTCCTGACAATTTCAGGTGTCTACTGAAGTTCTCTTTGTACAATGAATGGGAGTATTGTCGATGCACCTTGGTGATTGCGCTTCTCAACAGAACGGGTACCTCCTCCCATGTCTGAAGCTCTTCCTCTTCACGTTGACGGAACACCACCTCTGAGCTTCTCTTCAAAGCACTATGAAAAACATCAGCTTCCTCAAGATGGTACTTCACTTCACCACATTGCTCTTCAAGAAGTGTTTGTCGTTGGATTCCTTCAAGGATGATCACCCCCAACTGAGGTGTCCATTGTCCCAGCAATGATGAGATGTTATGCCCGTCCTTTTGTCCTCTTCCTTGAACTTCGGCATGGTCATGATCACCTGAACAGCGAACACTCAACAATGAAGCCAAAACCGGAGAGGATGTCACGAAACGGGTTGGTTTCAGCACAAAATCACCATTCACGTCCTTCAGATCAGTCATGCATTGATCCATCCGCACGGTGTAATGTGGAATGTGTTCCAACATCTCCATCAAATGCCTCCAAGCTTGCGATGACAATGGATTTTCCAACAAGTAGTGTCGTCCTTCCAACACTTGCAATTCACAAATCTCCTTCACAAATGTCAGATGTGCTAGTGCTGTCTCTTGTTGTGCTGTACGAGTGTCTTCGTCCAGGAAATTGCTAAGCGGTGTCCAGAGATCACAGTTGAATCCCATGGTGATCAGCTTTGGCTTCTCAACTTTGCTCTCCTCAAGCACTAAGCGCCTGTCTTCTTCCTTCAAGAAGTTGTCTCCCAGCAACAAATCCCGGGGACGACCATATGCGAAATCATTGTCTTTTGCCAGCATTGTCACCACACCACCGTCTTTTCCACTGTACAGCTCCTTCACAAGCACCTTTCTCCCACGCTTCGTGGCTCCTTTTCGAAGTTCTTTCCATAGAGCTCTTCCATGTTCTTTGGCCTGTTCAGCCATCTGTTGGACTTTCTTTCGAAGTTTCCCTTTCATGATCCTGATCGCCTCCACGTTGTAGTCCTTCGCCTTCAACTGATGAAACACCTCAACCGTCTCACCTGCCAGCCTAGTGTCTTTTCTCTTCTCACTGTTGTGTCCAATGTCCAAGAGCAAATGACCACCTTTGCCATACTCCAAGGTCACCTTCTCTGAACCAATGGATGTGAACTGGATGGTCGGCTTTGGCATTGCAGTGAGATCGATGACTGCACCAAGCTCTTTGAGTTGTGGAAGGCCCAACAACAATGGAACATCAGAATTGGGAATTCGGTGTAATGCCACACGACCTTTCTGACCGGCAATGTGAATGTCGATCCACTGCTGATGCTGCACAAGAACTGGTGCGTCAGCATTGACTCCTTTCAGGACCTTGTTGGATGTCTGGAGAGTTGTCTCGCTTCCAAACTTTCCAATGAAACGATCCAATGTTCGGTCACCACCGCAACCAATCAATGCAGCTGTGTCAACAACACACATTCCGGACGGCACTGTCTCGCGTCCGGCTCCTGCCATGAATGTCAGACTGTGTGGGACTGTTGCCAACTCGGATTCATTTGTCATGAAGGCGTCCACCTGCGACAATGACTGCAGCTCCTCAAAGGTCTCAAACTTGGGCCAGCTGTGGATCTGATCCTCGATGTCAAACTCACGGAACTCCTCCATGCACGACAAGTTCAAACAGTTCAGGGCTTCTTGGCATGATGCGAGCAGCTGTCCTGATGCCGATGCGAGCATCGCTGCTGCCATTCCAGCCCTCTGGAGAAAACCACCCTTGCGGCCTCCTTTCTTTCCTGAGCCTTTCTTGCCGCCTTTTGAACTTGATGATGAACTCGTGCTCTTTGGACATGACTTGTCACCACGCCAGTGTCCCTTTTGTCCACAGTCATAGCACTGCGTCCGTGACTTGATCTGCTGCAACTTGTCTTGTAGCTGTCCTGCATTGAAAGTCACCTTGCCATCCAATGCAATTGCTGTTCGATTGTGGCCAACTGTGCTAGGTTGATATCCTCTGTTGACCTTTCCATCTCTGACCGCTTGTCTTTTGCGAGCATATTCTGAAGCACCTTTACCCATTTTCTGAGCAGTCATAGCGAAGATGTCCAATTCCTCCAGAGATAGGTCATCAACTGCCATCACCTCCACGGCATGTTCCATCTCCTCGATGTCGAAATGGATGTCTTCTTCGACTTCATAGATGGGGACTCCTTCTTCAGCAGTTTCATCATCATAGTACCAGTCATCAACTGCGTACACATCCTCAGTCTCACCATCATAGCTTGACCACTCCTCTTCAATCGGGTAGGCCCATGCGCTTCTTTTGCCACCTGTATTGTAGCTGCTTTGTTGTCTTGACTTGAAACCACCTTTCCAACCCTTGTTGCTGCTGATGTCATCACCACCGTCCAATTGAATGAGCATAGCTTCAACAATCTTGTCCCAATCATACTCATTCCCTGCTTGACCCAGGATGGCACGATGTTGCGATGAGCTCACACCAGCATTCCTCAGTAGGAAAAAGGCTTGCAAATCAGTCGACAACTTTGTATGACCTTGTGTCAGACTTGTCAGCTTCTCATATTCATTCTCTCGGCGACTGATGTAGTCTTGGATGCTTTCGGATGCCTTTCTTCGACCTTTCTCAAAGAAGTAGTCTTCGAAGGTCTGGGTCTTGAGCAATGGAGCAACCTTCTCACAAGCATTCCTCACAACTTTTACCACCAGTTGTACTGCTGCTCGTGGTCCTGTCGTTGTGCTCGGATCCGATTCACTCAGCTGAAGGAGTTTCTGAGCTGCGATCTCAGGTTTCCTGTGACAGAGTGTCCATGCACGGCCATGCAATGCGTTCTTGAGTTTTGCTGCATAGGACACTTTCTCTTCCTTCATCACAGTTTGAAAACCCAGCCATACCCGCTCTTCATATTCTTCAGCCAACTTTGGATTACCGTCATAATGCACAACGTTGGACTTCGGGTCAACATACAATGATTGCCCATTTGACTGCATTGTAAAATTCGAAATCGTGCAAAATCAAAAGGTGATACTGCGAGCCAACAAAACTTGCACCAAATTACCTCAGCAACTTCCGAAGTGTCCAGCCTTCACAAAGTACTCGAGAATGACAATTCCGGTACAATAGTGAGCCAAAATCACCTCAGACTGCCACCAACCAATGAAGGGCACTGTACGACCAACTCCAAAGGTTCACCACCTGTCCAGCTCCAGGGCGGGGACACCAAAAACAATCCGCAAGCGAAAAGTCAATGGCAGCGCGCCGATCCAGAGCACCTTAGGCTCCGCCTACCAGTGCAAAGCGCGGAATGAGCGCACACACGAACCTTTTGGGGCTCGCGGGAGGCTCAAGGCCTAGGTCCGGGGTTCGAACCGAGACATCACGGAACATGAGCTCGTGACGTCCCACCTTGCTGTCCTGTCGGCTGTCAGTTCGTGAAAGGTCAATCGCATGGTTCTTCAACTTTACAGTATATATGGCCCGTCTTTGGAACTCAGGGGGGCGCTATTTTCCTATCACCCTTTGAGAACCATGAGAACAATGGCATTCTGTCTCCAATGGCCATCCGCAAATGCTGACCGTCATGGCTTGGTGGCGCAGTTCCGGAACTGGGCTCGAGGGGCCCTGGGGTTGAACCACAATGACCAACACCATCGACCACATCTAACCGATGATCGTGTTGCCTCCTCCTCCAAGGATACCGAGGACAAAAGTACAAATCAACTTGATACAAACACATATTATATAAGTACAGTACATTCCATGTTGTTTTGAAGGTCGGAAAATCGTGCTCTTGATCATTGTGCAGGAGCCAAAGTGTGCCAAGCATGCCAGGGACCCCGGTGGAAGTAGTACTTCGATCCTGGCATGTCGATAGCTGAACTGCTCCGTGATCCATGCCACAGGATCCTTAGCGAGGTCCAAGGTTCGCGCAAACGAGGAGAGTGGCGCGAAGGGGTCTATTGAATGATGTGGGTACACTCCTGAAACGAGCATAGCAATGGCCAATGGCCAATAGCCTCTGCAAAAACATGCTTTCCTCTGCAAAGAGGAGAGCATCCATATCCATTTGTGAGAGGGGGAGGGTAAATCTGATCTACGACACGGGTTCTGTGCATGGGGCCTGGCAATCGCAGGCATCCACGAGCGTTCTGAAGAATTGTGACTTGTGATTGAGGAAAAAACACAAACCGCAATTGGGAACACAGCACATACAGCACACCAATTGCGGTCATACAGCACATACAGCACAGTAATTGGGAACATAACACATACATTGGGCATCAAAAATCCTCATAGATGCCCATCACGGCATCTAAAAACGGTGCCACGGTCCGGGACTTCCATTTTTTTAACCCACGGCCCCATGACCCATGAGTGCGTGCCTTAGATATCTAACCAATCGACCGGTACTTGCTTCATTCATGTGGAGATGGACATCCGTTGGTGATCCGAAAGTGACACCCACTCGGACGGTGCAGGGACGTCTTCGCGGGTGATCTGAAGGCCGTCTTCGCCCTGGTGGTGTTCCACCGGGATGTGGAAAGAAGATGGATGCTTCCAAGACTGATTTCTGGACTGGAAGACCTCTGGTTGGAAGACTTCTGGATTTCAGAAATGATCTAGCTTCTTAGAATCAAGAACAAAGAGATCAAATCAAGAAAACATGTTCTTATTCTTTTTGGAAAAAATGCTGGTTGATCAGTCACGATCAATCAACACCTCTGGACGATCATTCTAACCCCTCACGATCAAATACTGCCCATGACATTCGACCCTTCCCAAGTCTCGTAAACGGGAGTATCCACACCCCATCCGCGCCGAGCACTCCTGACATAGGTGGGTGTGGATGAACAAAAGAAAGGCTCCGTTGAAGTTCATCAAGTGTAGCAAGTGGTGACACCCTAAAAGAGCGAAAAGAAAACAGCTCAATAGGCAAATCAGGAACATCGTCTTCTGGCTGGCGTGATCAAATGGATTAGTTGCACGCCCAAAACCAAGGGTTTTCTGTAAATGTTCCCTTAAACCAATTCTGTGACTTCATGGATTTGTAAGGTTCTATACCAAGAAGTGCTACCGGAGCTGTTGATCAGTGAAGTGATCGCTCAAACGATCTTCCATGATCTTCCGGTTTTGTGCTCTTAGATGTTCCTAGATAGCTATATATATATAGATAAATAAACAATAATATGTTGGTGTCCAAAAGTATTCAAACCAAAGAAATTCAAGAACTTGGGGGTGCTGGTGGTGTGATTTGATTTCTTTGGTGCTGAAACAAACCATTATAAAGCTGAAGCCAACTATTGATTTGCACTAGGCTTTCTTGGTCACAAGGCGCTCTCGGTCAAAATTAAGCCATTTGGACTTCACTTTGCAAAATACCAAACCCCTGAGATGCGTTGATCCCTGTTACTTTGAATTACTGGTCATATTTTTTGCTCTCCGTCGTCAGTACACGGAATATGCAATCTGCACGCCACCTAAAATCCCTCTAAATTGTTCACAAAAATTATTCCAACGATTGCTACGTTGACATCATGTGCGCATTGTCACCAGTGATTCTGGTGAAAAAACTTCAGAGCGTAGCTATCTGTAGAAGGAAACAACCTTGTAAGTCCTCAAGTAGTTATATCATGTTATATATATATATATATGAGCCACGGTCAACATCAATTATGTATGCTAAGGATGTTGTCTTTATCGTTATCGTTTGTGAGGGAGACCTTATCGGTTTTCAGCTTTTTGTTCACCCAATTGCTTTTGGCATTCGCATTTACATTGTGGATGCATGAAGCGGAGCTACCTACTCGCTGAAATCAGAAGCAGTGGATGACGAGCTTGTTCACAGCTCGCTTGTCAGCAGCGGACAAAGGCATTGCAATCTCGAGTGGGTTTGCAAAATTTGGTGTACCTATCTCTATCTTAATCTTTATCGGCCTTCTGTTTGCTGGGATGTAAAATACTAACATGTAAGTTCTCAAAAAGAAAGGCTAGCCCAATGTCTTCGATAGGGAATTTAGCTGTCTTGTCAGCAGGCTCTGGGCAAGTGGCTATGAAAGCCGAAAACATATCCAAACGGTCATCGGCGAGTTATAGGTTTCGTTATCGGCGTAATGCCCACATAGAATCCGGATTTTTCAAGAAATGGGTGCAGATTAGAAAAAGAAAGACACAACAGCAACATAAATCTTGATTCCAAAGCATGTGGCTGAAGCCGCCCACTAGGGTACTGATGGTACTGTCAGTGGGGCTTTCATTCGACATGCAACAGGTACTGCAAGGACCTGTCAGGAATGATAATAACATCATACATAGGTTATCGTTTTTTTGGGGGACCTTATCGGTTTCCAATACATCCTCACCCTAAGCCATTCACATCGGCCTCTCCTGACTAAAGTAGTCTACACTTATTTTGACCCCACCTCATATATGTAGTTGGAATATGTTGGAATGTATCCATCTCAGTTGATGGGGCTGGCCGGTGTCAAGCCGTGAAAACAGTCATCCGTATCGATGGACCGCAACTCCAAACGTTGCACGCGGTCACTCCTCATGTACACACGCAGGCCACCAAAACAGCCGTCGTGTCGAGACATGTCGCTCAAGAGGGTCTTCCTGGCAAGAAAAAGTTGCCGCACAACACGTGGACACTTGGGATACAACAGGTGTCGTTTGCTTTGTAGTCACGGTGGGGTGAAATGGGGTGAATCCGAAAACATGATAAACAAATAAAAAAGGAATTCTCTTTGAACAGGAGTGGATTGCAACTGAAACCAGGTAAAGGGCGGCGCTACGCCCCTAGGCCGTTACAACGGTCGGTCTCGGCGCTCTGCAGTGCTCCAGGGAGTCATTGTGCCATGTCGGAAGGGGGGTCCTAGTGCCGCCAAACTCTTCAGCCACCGGCAAAAGCAGAACATGACCCAGCCAAATCCGTGACGATATTGGTTAACTGCAGATTACGTTGCGTAGCAGCTACTAGCCTGTGAGAATGGGTAGGCTGAATCATGATTGGCACCAAAAATGGTTGAACATGGAAACATTGAACATGAATACGTCTGGTCCTCTTTCAGGTCGGTCTTTGAGTTATACCCACATAGGGGTGGGACTAAACCTTGCGCAGCTTAGGTTTTTAGAATTCCCGTGGACTAAAAAAACAAAACAAACATGCGAAATTCAAACAAATCCATCAACATCCCCATGCTATACAACATGCAAACTGAATGAGTCTTTGGTGACTGGATGGGCCATCTACCAGACTCCGAGTCCATCTCCGCCCCACTTTCGGCCCAGGCTACGTGGCCCCTGGCGTGCCAAAGGAGTAGAGCTCCTGCACTCACCAGGATGGCACATGCCCAGAAAGACCAAGGCCTCAAAACTGCAATGTTTACACTCCCTATACGTACCATAATCATCAAAGTGGAATATGATCCCTTGTCTGCAAACAGGCGGTTTTCTCCACTTCTATGATCTTTTTCAGGACATGTAGGTCTCCTTCCCCTTTCCACTTCATGGCACTGGCGGCCGAGGTGGTCGAACCTCGCCTTCCCAGCTTCCTGGGTCTCCCGGAACGGCCTTCGTTGTCGTACCGAACCGCTTCGGTGGGACGACCCGGGGCCCGGGTGCCAGGGTCCAGTCACACCGAAGCGGTTTGGAGGTACGACGAAGTCGGTGTAGGGCTATCATGGGCTATTCCAAAGGCCCTGTCGATTCTGTTTGGAGACGGTCCGGAGGGCCCACCTTCTGAGAAGGGACTCTGACTCTATAGGACTCTAGGATGTGTGCTTTCTTCGATCACATGGTATATATCATGGTTGTCTCTTGCATGCTGAAGCCTGAAGTCTGAGTTGGTAGGAAGCTATTGAGGTCTGAAACGTATACCAGTAAGACAGGGTGTTGGGAGCTTCTTGGTCATGAGTCATCAGTAAGACACGACCCTCCTCAAACTCTGCAAACAGCCTCTGTCCTCCACCGCTCGTACTCTCGCCACGCTGCCCGTCAGCGCCCTTGGTGCGAGGGCGATGTTTCTTCGAAACAAGGATCCACAAGGGACTGGAGCAGGGACCACATGTTGGTCATGACTGTCATCACTCATGAACAACATCGGCTCGGTGTTTCTTTGTGCTTGCTACGTTTGATCGGCTATCCAAGTTCATTCAACAGGCCACCCAACGAAGGAACATTCTGGGGAGCTGCTCCATGGTGTTGGCATCCTTGCTGTGCATCAGCTTAGTGATCACCGGAAAAAACTGTCACGGAGCCCTGCGTGAGTGCAAATGCACCTCAAATTTACGCTGGCGGGGCGGGGTTGTCGCTGGCATTTGAGTTGCGATCGGTACAGACATCGGCCCAAAACTGGGTAGGGTTTTGACTTCGAAGCGGCCTTTGAAGCCCTTGGCTGTAGGTTTTCGGCCAAACCAAGTGACACCACAGGCTCACAACTCTAAGCTTCCCAGGGGCTCTCGGTGAAGGCTTCGCAAGCACGTCAAACAGATGGCAGCCACTAAAGCCACCTGAGTAAGGAGCTCTAGATCCAAGAACCAGGAAGTTGAAAGGCGACCGGTGGTAGCAGCTCCACATTACGCCCCCCATGTTGTGGGGAGAAAAGACAAGAATCTGAATCCGTCTGCATTCTTGAAGATGCTCTGCTTGGATCCTCACATCTTCCCCGCAAAAACGACGAAGTGAACGACAATAGGACTTGGCCTTGCCCTTTCTTTGGTTCGTCCGACGGGCCTCTAGATCATCTCCGAACCCTTGGTTTGTGGGGATGTCCGGTCTTGACGCGGGTTGGCCAACCCTCCATGTTTAATTGGCAGTGGTAAATGCATATGCATCCTCAAACGATGAAACCACACAATACTTGTGGTTAGAACCATTTCTCTGCTCCCCCCAAAGCATCGACACTTGGCAACGTGTGGGCTGGGCAAGGAAGATTGCCATTTCGTGTGCCGCATGGGAGGCACAAACCCTGGCAAAACCAACTTGCTTAGGTGCCTACAGCCAAAGGCCAAGCAGCCTGTCAAAGCTCATCTACATGCTGGCTGTGTTACACTAAGGTCTATCATGGTTCATCTATTTCCTATGCCAGCAACTGCACTCACAACACTTGCACCAGCATCTCCACAAGCATGAGACCACACCACAAAACTCCAACATACGGTCCCAGGTTCACCCCATTCACGCGCTGCCTGAAGCGCAGCTGGGTGGCGCCCAAACAAGCGAAGCAGTTCCTCTTGGACGGTCTAAGTTGGGCGGCGCGCACCACTCGACTGGGCAACAAGTGGTCATCCTGCCGAGTGGTTTCGCATGTGAAATTGACGCATCAAACACCACCACCGGTCACGGGTAAAGCAAAGGTGCACCAGATTGCCCTAGGTCAAAGGTCTGAAACCAAGAAAATTACGAGACATGGTTTCAGAGATGTAGACCAAGCGAAGACTGCAAAGCCCGGAGGACGCGAAGAATGACGATGGGGTGTGGACGACCAGTTGGGGAGAGCGCAATTGCAGAAACTCGGACGACTTATGTGATGCTTGCCTGGAAAGGGGCCACCACCTCTTCCTAGAGTACAGCTCATATCTGCAACAGGTTCCCCGTATTTGGTAAATTTAGTTGCTGCACTTCAGGTGACATGTGTTAGAAAGCATTTTAAACCGTTTGGTGCAAAGAAAGTTGCAAAGGTCTCTTCCCCTCTCAGCTTATTGGAATGCCCAAGAGGTCTCTGACAGGTTCTGACCCTACCACTGTTGATGGACCATCAGCTCCAAGGCGGGAGCACCACACATAACCACAGTGGACTTGCTCATTCGGCCCCGAACTCTTTCTCTGCTCCACATCCCCAAGACTGTTTGAAACAGGAAGGAACGCCGATTTTATATGATTATTTTATGATTCTATTGGGAGGGGGGTGGCTTGGAAGGGAGGGGGTGATGAATTTATGATCATTGATGAGTTTTTGGCCAGTCCCTATAACCACTACTTCGGCTCTTCCTGAGCCCTTCCAGTGCCAGTCCCATCCATGTGCGCTCCTCACTGTCGCCTCGGCGTCTCGGGCTGTCTCGGGCGTCTCGGACCCGAAAAGACCGGTACTCCTTCCATCTCCCCCTCCCTACCAGCCAAAGATCTCGCTTGACTGGACGTTGATCATGCAAAAACACCACGAAAAAGGAAGGGAAACAACCAAAAAAAATGGTTTACTATGGTTTACTATGGTTTACTGGGTCTTTCGACGTGTACTCCTTCGTCCTCTCGTACCCAGGCCCGGGCCGCCCTCCACAGCCCAACGAGTCGTTGTCGCTATGCTCCACCTGTTCACCCCCAAAGAATCCTTGGATGCTCTATAGGTCGGGGTCGAGGCCCGCTTTTGTTGGGCGGTCTGGGGCCCTTCCAAACCCTATCGTGCTTGAGGGATGTTAAGAGGGTGCTTTCCCCTTTGTGGATCCGGTTTCAGAAACGCTCTCGACGTCGAAGCGGACCCACGAGTACATCGCTCTTCGTCACATCGCTCTTCGAAACGGCCTACGAGCAGTACTGTGCTGCCCTTTCTTTGCTTCAACGTCAAGAATCGAATCGCCAGGGAGGCCGGTGGTTTTTGCTGTGACAATACATGGTCTCAAAAGAACATGGTGTTGAAACATGTTGAGACATCAGTCTTTTCTTCCAAGAAGAACAGCCGCACAAACCTCATCTGGCTGAACATCCATCTCGTTTTCCCCAGCAAGGAACCGTCATGAAAAAGAAGTTGGTGGCCCCAGTTGAGGGCCCAAGTGCATGTCGGATCATGGGAGTTACCCCGGAAGAAGTTCAATCTGGATTGCTTTAAGCTACGTGAGCATGCCATACATGTTCCAAACATCCTTTCTCATGGACCCAGGGATGCAATCTGTTGGCTAAGCCCCGAATCAAGGTCGACTCCCAGGTTTCTTGCTCTGACCTCTGAAGGTCGCACCCTGTTGCTAACTCTGTTCCACTTCCATGCTTGAAACTCAAAAGGTTTTGGGTTTACGTTCCAAAGGCAAACACCTTGATAGAGTTCGTCAACGACCCTCAGGACGCGGGTTCTCTTTGGGAGTGTTCCAACAACTGCCGCACACCACGTGGTGGTCTCCCCACTGAACTCGCTTCTGGGCGCTGTCCACGGAGCCACTGTCCGTGCGCGCCATGGTTCATGGCACGTTGCTGCACCACTCTCCATGTGTCACTGAGGTCACATCTTAGACACAATGAGGGTGTCTGTAGACTCTAACTCTAACAAGTGGGGAGGCCTCCAAAGAAGACTCAAGTAAAGCTGCGATGTTGCAGTTTGTGATGCACACTGTTGCGTCAACTTTCGACTCTCTCTCTCTCTCTCTCTCTCCGCACGCTCCGGACTCCAGCACCATCCAGTAGTGAACACTCAACTGAGGCGCGTACCTTGTCAGTTGTGACTGGAATGACCAATCAATCATTAAACCAATTGACCATTATATAAATCAATTGACCAATCATTAAACCAATTGAACATCAGCGGTGAACCCCAAGTTGGATGATGTTCAATTGTTCAAGTCAGCCAACTTCAAGGCCGTGGATCGGATTGTCACTTGGCGATTCATTCCCTGGATTGGTATGTGTACACAGTCGAAACGTGTAGGACAGAGAAGAGGACTGGTGCAACACACAAATGGAAGTATTCTTGAGCGCATGAGCTAGGAAGATTGATAGGAATTCCTCGCATCTATCCATCTCTCTGTCTATCGATCTATCAATAACTTGCATTTAGTAGGCATGATTTTGGGGATACCTTCCCCATCCTTCCCCAAAGCCATGCACATCCACATCTAGTGCCCCCCTAAGACAATTCCTGATACCCACATGCGCCAGGCGTCCATGGTGGAAGGGATGGGCTGCAACTCGTTTCCGGAGACATCGAGCGCCACTTCAAGGAAGACCTGCGCAAGAAAAGTATTAAACAAAGAAACGAACACAAATGAATTAATGTGTTATTGTTTTATTATGTATTTATTACTATTCTTCTTCTTCAAAGACCCGCGTCACATCATCTGAACCGGCTCTTTCCGCACCAGTGGGTCTTCACCGAGGTGAAGAAAGCACGTGAGGCTCTACGACCGCCGAAGGCCAGGACGGGTTGGAGGGTTGGACGGTGAGGGACTGACGTCAAAGAGGGGACAAGGCGCTCGCTGTTACATATAAACATATACAAATATGTTTGTATGCATAGAGCTATATTATTAATATCTATATATATAATGTTAGATTATATATATATATATTTAGATGGCCATAATATATATATATATATAGTATTAAGTTTTATATATTTAGATAACCGCCCAGGGACATGGACCATGCACCTTCAATCTGGACAAGGTACCTTCAAAATGAGACACTTGCTGTCCCAGCTTGTCCGCCTCTCTGGGTTGCTGATGACCAAACCATCCCCAACATCAGCATTCCGCCCCACCACTTCTGGGGGACCATGGGCCCACCGTCGGCCCTTCTCCCTCCCAATCACCGAGCGGCATCGATGTGCCGGCGGAGGAAGAGTTCCACGAGGATGGCCTGGAGGGTCTGCATCAATCGCCGACCAAACGATGAGACCAGCATGGCAGACACGACAACAACACAGACCGACACGACCCCCGTGTTTGACGGCCCCGACCCAACTCGCCGATCAGCTGGAGTGGTCAATGATGTAGGCATCATACATACATACATACATGCATGCATGCATACATACATTACGTTACATTACATTGCATTCCATTGCATTGCATTGCATTACATTACATAAAAACATGTCATATTTACTTACTTGATTACATTACACTAGATTACATACATACAAACATACATACATACATACACTATATAAATACATTACATTACATTAATACATACATACATACATCCATGCATACATTCATTATATGCATTCATTATATACATTATAAATCATTATAAACATTTCATACATTACATACACTACATACAAACATACATTACGTTACATTACATTACATTACGTAACATTACATACATACATACATACATACATTACATACATACATACATACATACATACATACATGCATACATACATACATACATACATACATACATACATTACATAAACTACATACCTACCATACCTACCATACATACCATACATACCATGCAATACCATACATAGCATACATACAATACAATACACTACTATACAGTACAATACAATGCAATACGAACATACATACATACATAATCATACATACATAATCATACATACATAAGCATGCAAACATAATCATCGAATCATTCATACATATATAAATACATACATTACATACATACAAACATACATACATACATAAAAACATACCATACCATACCATACCATACATACATACATTGCATTACATTACATGACATGACATGACATCACATGACATGACATGACATTACATTACTTACATACATACATACCATACATACATACCGTACATACATACATGCATACATACATACATACCATACATACATACATACATAAATACATACATACATACATTACATTACATTACATTACATTAATACATTAATACATACATACATACATACATTACATTACATTACATTACATTACATTACATTACATACATTACATACATTACATACACTAGATACATTAGATACATTACATACATTACATACATACATACATACATCCATGCATGCATGCATACATACATACATACATACATACATACATACATACATACCGTACATACCATACATACCATGCAATACCATACATACATACATACATACATTACATTACATTACATTACATTAATACATACATACATACATTCATTACATTACATTACATTAGATTAGATTAGATTACATTACATTACATACATAAAAACACGCACACATACATACATACATACATACATACATTACATTACATTACATTACATTACACTACACTACATTACATTACATGACATTACATTACATTACATTACATACACTACATACATTACATACATTACATACATTACATACAAACATTGTGCCAAAAAGGAAGGAACTTCAGTCCGTGCAGAAACGGCCCGTTCTCGCCCCTCTGGGCGCGCCAGGAAGAGCGTGATGAACACGACGCACAAGTGGGCCAAGCCGAACCTCTGACTAAACCGGTGGTGGCCAATGGACTCCGGTATTTGAGTAATTTTGAGTACATATACTAGTTTATTCTCACTAACATGTGTCTGTAGAGGAAAGGAGTCTTCCAAGGGGCCTTGCTTTCAATGCTATCCACTTCCATGTTGGTGTGTCAGAGTGTAGGCCATAAATAATCATAAATACATCAGGATGGTTCCAGTCAGTGTGAGATTCGGAAGCCACAACACCTCAACAAAAAGGGGGCTGGCGTGACACCCCTTTGGAAATAAGCATTCATGAATCACTGTATTTTAATATGAATGGTGACAACATGATTGTCTCGCATTTTAATACCATAACAATCCATAACATCATTTAGGGCAAACACATAGATTCAATTCATCGTCCGATGCCATTAATATCCTTGTCACTTCATGTATATTACAATTGTGTATTAACTTAATAGTCCTTTCCTCGTATTAGGTATAAAAAATAATTAGACAAAATATTCTAAAACCAACATAAATAAGTCTATATTCCCTATTGACATATATTCATTTAAAAAGCATATCGTATACGTATGTATACGTCACAAATCCCAAATATTCCAAAATCTTGGTGGATTCTATCATGCTTTATGTGTTTAGAGGTGCAGGGTGCTCCTTTTGCCCAAATACACCTTCTCAAACAATTCGTAGCACGAGGGAAAACAGGCGTTGTAGATGAACATATTTTTCCTTTGGAGCCTCAAACGAATATACGGATCACCTTTTGTCCCTTTGCATGCCCTGTCCAAGCCTCCCTTAGCGGGGTTTCGTTCTCTTTCCGAATAAATGTCAAAAACCTGCCTGCTACCCCAAGACCCGCAGGTTGTTTAATCAATTGGCAGTGGTGCAAAGAGTAGATGGCACAATCAACCATCGAAGGAGCTGGAGGGTCCAATATAGACCCCATCAACCAGTTATATCAATACATCACCAACCTAATAATACATATACAGTGGTTTATGTGGACCCTCCCTAGATTGACCTTACGGCCCATCCATCAACCATCGACGTTCCATCCTCTTGACCTTTGTGTGGACGCTCCGACCCGCCAGTCGAACGGACTGCCGGGAAAGCTGGGTGTCTTGGGGCGTCATCCAAAACAAGCTCCTATAGAGCTAAGTATAACAATATATATGAGATTAAATCAATGGATATATGCAAAGAGTCTTATCGTATCACATGAGTTAGATCAATCTCATATGAAATCAATCATAATATAGATGTATATATAAATATAGTATATAGTCTAGTGTATATTAGTATATGTTAGTGTATCCTTCTTGACATGTCTATCATTTCTATCAGTTGGATCTTTCCGAATTTCCTTTTGTTGTCTCCACTCGGCCTCGTCAGCCCCCTCAGTCTCCCTCCGGGCTCGCAACGACAGCAAAGCGCCCTCCTGGCACCCAAAGCCCGCAAAGCTCACAGAGACCATCCTCGGTCGAGGCGCCTCGTCGGTCCAGGAGCTTCGACACGGAGCATGGCGCTTTCCACCTCATGGCCTCCAAAAGACTTCCAAGACCATTAAGAAAAATGGTTGACCTGGCTTTCATAGCGTAAAATCCTTAGTTGATTCGGTTGGAAGCCTATTCAATTAATGGTGGTTGGAAGCCTGGGGAATAGCGATGGCCTCCAACACGGTGTTTTGTTCATCTTTCCCGAAGCTGAAATTGGCTGTTGGTGTGCCCACATGAGATGGCGCCCAAAGTTTGATCAAACATCCTTCCGGAACTTCCGTCCCTCCGAAAAGGCGCTGGAAGACACTCAAAAAAGAAAAACAAGAAACCTTCAAATCTCGTTTTCTTGCTCCCTTGTATGTTAAAAACCATATAGATTTCCATACCCTTCCATACATGCAGCAGTATCTAAAAATGAAACCACCATCAATGTAACGTATGTGTATTCCATAGATTTCCATACTATTCCATACATGCAGTGTCTGGGAATTGACAATTATAA